CCATTGCCAGAAAAGAAAAAAAAAATCAGTCTAAACATGTCCATCAAGGGGGAAATGGCTTAATAAATTTGCCACAGCTATAAAATACAGCACTACGTACTCATTAAAAATACGAAAAAAACAGGGACTGGCTCAGTGGAGTATCGGTTAAGTTTGTGCCCTCTCCTTCAGCGGCCCAAGGTTCACATGTTCAGATCCTGGGCACAGACCTAGCACCACTACTCAAGCCATGCTGTGGTGGCATCCCACGTAAAATAGAGGAAAGACTGACACAGATGTTAGCCCAAAGCCAATTTTCCTCACCAAAAAAAAAGAGGGGGAACAACAGGCAAGTTATAAATGTAGACAAGAAATACTGTCTGCAAAAGTAATAACCAAACTGTAGAATAATATTACCAGTCCTATTACTTCAAACAGGCATGACAGAAAAAGAAATATAGGTGTTATGGGTCCAGGGAAGAAAAAAAGAAGGAAAGCTATATACCAACTTTTAATACCACTGGTAAGATACTTACAATATTGTCTGAGTATTACAAAGAGCATATATTAAACTTCGTAATTTTTAAATTTTCATTTAGTTTCTGATAACAGATTCATGATACTGGTTAGGAAACATGGATCTAGAATAAAGGTTGCAAGTGAAAACGCATTTAGCACTACTAGTAAAACAAAAAACTAATTTCTGACACGCCTACATTAGTGACAATTTATGGTTAAAGTCTGAGTGTGCTTAAATATTATCAACTAATTGAAGAGAGGACTGAGAAGGCTGAGATGAGGGAAATAAACTAGTAAAGATGCCATGCTGGAATATTAAATGAGCGGCTACAGAGAAAGAGTAATAATGAAAAATTTACTGCCTAGAACCTAAGGTGTACTCTCCAACTTTAATGTTTCCAAAAGGTAATTTAAAAACATTTGATACGCTTACTTGATACAGTACTATTTTTTCTGAAAACCTGATATCAATGATCTTAAAAACAAAAATACAATAAAGTGAACCCCAACTGTGAAACATCTGTTCATATGCAGTCATTAAAATATTGTCAAAGACTATATAAAACCATAGGAAAAAACACAGAAAAACATAGTATAAAATTTGCAACTAAGGTATGACTTCAAGAATGTGAAAGCAATGTAAAAAAATTGGGTAAAAAAAATGAAGCTAATATTTTATAGCTACTGTAGCAAAATATTTACCAGAGGAGATTACAATAGAAAAGACACAGTAATACAAGGAAGATGATTTTGTATTCCATCAATTCTCTTTAATCTCAGAGATCGCCGAAATGGCATCTCCATTCTTATTAAAGGAACTTCTCCATTACCCATACAGTGATAAAATGGCTAGACCCACATATCATAAAAGTGAATTAAAACTGATAACTTCAAACACCTGGCTACAACCACCACCACCACCACTACATATAAGCATCAAAGTGCACAATCAAAAATTCACTCTAGGGGAGGAGCCTGGAATGTCCAGATCACCATCTATAACAAGTGATAAGAACGGTGGTGTCTTTGCTTAAGTAGTTCTGGGGGAAAAAAATTTCACTCATCGCAAATCACTGACATGAAATTTCATGTCACACTTTGGTGGCTATTTCAATGCTGGAGAAAATGACCTAAATGAAAAGAGCTGAGAAATCAAGACACTATGTCATCTTACAAAAAAAAAAAAAAAAAAGGTCAGGAAAGCAAAAGAAAATGACATTTAGAAAAAAATCTACAGAAATAATTTTTTGGCACTGTAAAGTTACATATACTATATCTTGCTTCTTATAAAAAGAATAAGATCTTTAGTAACAGGATGCAGTTCTCTTTACTAGAAAGAAACTATGTTACCAATTTGTCTATGCTTGTACACAGCTTATCTCTACTATAGGATATTTACTCCCTGTCCCCTCTACAGCCCCTTACTCAGAGGGGCTCACACTAGTCAGGCCCAGGGCTTTTCTCACTGAGCCACAGACTACACCCATTCTCAACAGGTACACTCATATTAAAACTTTCTGAAATTCTTTGTTAAAAATGACTTTACCAATCAAAACAGCAATGCATCTCTCTTTAGAGCAGCAACCTTCAATCTCTGATGTGGCAGACCAAAGAGTCACAAACAATATCTAAGAATCAGTGGTAGAAATAAACAATAAAACTTAGTTGTAGATCAAGCCTTTTCTTTCCTCAAAGCCCAAAGGTATGGAGGCAAGTTTTGAAGTTTAGCAACTATTAACAGTAACCAAACATTAAGAAATGGACATGCTGTCTCACAAAAATAAAACCATGTATTTATACTATGCTTTAAAGTTTAACAAGTAACCTACCCGTTCCTTTATCTCCTTGAAATAGATAGGCTATTAGCTTCATTTACAGAAAAGGAAACTGATGTTCAGGGAGCCTAAGGAAAGTTCAAGGTCCCTCAGTTATAGTTATGAGAAGGTTTGAAATCAGGTCTCCTGTCTCTAGTTATGTTTTCATTACACTTGGGTTAAGAACAAGTGCTTTGGAAGAACAGCCAGGGATACAAAAATATAAAAAACTTTTCAAGTCCAACTGTTAGCATATTTGATACTGTTGGGAGAAGCCAAAAGAACAAAACAGTAATGTAATAGGAAATCCAAGACAGTCGTCCCAACATACCTACAATGGTATATCAAAATAGGGTAAAATCTCTAGAAATTAAAAGATAAAAATAAGCTGAGGCATAGCAATCAAGAAACTGATTCTATTGCTTCTGACGCCAGTCCAGAATTCTGGGAAAATAACCAATTTGTTCTATCAGCTCTTAAGAGTCTACCAGTGGAGATCAACTAAATTATGTTTGTCAATTAAACACCACTGAATTTAAGTTCAGAAACAACCCTTAAGTTTGTACCAACTAAAACTAGCCTTGAAAAAGGGTCATTCACTACCTCCATACCCACTCAGCATAAAATGTGGGGGAAAAATCCTATTTAAAGCAACCTAGGAAAGAATTTTCAATCCTGATAATGGTTAATCAATAGCAGTAATTCTGCAGGATAAAGAAGCTGTTAAGAATCTAAAGACACTATTAGTACTCATAGATTTTCAGTAACTGATATCAAAATTTTCACATTTGACCTCGCATAAGGGAAATACGGATAATGCATATTTCTTGCTACCAACAGTGCCAATACCACTCAAAACTCAAGAGCTGTCTTTTGACAAGTTAACTGCTCAGCTGCTTAACTGAACACTCAATTCGACTATCAAATTACTGGACTTATTTTCTTCTTCCTTCTGTACTTCTGATCCCCAACCACCCCACAAGCATTCTGGGTCTCTCTACTCTCAATACTTGTTCATCAGTGACCAATATTTCAACCTCAAATATTCAACAGCTTGAGCCATAACAGTTCTTACATAGTAAGCAACCTATTTGAAGTCCTTATCCTCCCTACAATTCCTTGATAACCTTTCAGGATTAAATAGCCTCTGGAGATTAAACCATAACACAAGGATACACATGACTAATGCCAAAAATTTAAGAAAACTAGAAGGCAATTATCACCAAAGAAACAATACATACTTCAGTTCGAAGAAATTCAAACTAATCCTACGGTCTAATTTTTAAGACCAGAAATTTTGGATATCAAAAGGACCACTGGATTCTAACAGGGCCAAATATTTACTGTGAAACTTTGTTCACATGCCTTAAGCTATATTAACTTCCAAATATGGAGCTGGACAAGGAGTTCCCATCTTCGTCCCCTCCAGCATACAGGGCGCCCAAACTGCAGTTAATGGTTCACAGATCCAGGTACAGGCAACGCTAACATTTGGAAGACTAGCACGAAGTGTGGGGCCCTAAATCTAAAAAAACAGTATTTTAACGCAAGTTAATATCACAACAATCATATGGGAGGAGTGGGAAACAACTAACAACTCTGCTATTATTCCAGCTTTGCTGCACGTGGGTGGTGGTAGTGGTGTTTTGTTTTAAAGAGAGCAAAGGCACCTCCCCCCCACCCCCCTCCCCAAATCTGTTAAGAAACTAGGTATACCTTGGGGGAAAACAATTGATCTATGCGGAAAATTGTTGATGCAAATCCATATTCGCCCCAAAGCAGCACAGGGCCATCTTAGGAAATCTGCTTTTAGAGAAGCAGGTAAAATTCGATCATATTCGACTAACAAAATCGACACCATTTAGGGAAGCCTATGTTCCTCCTCTTGACTATCCTTTCTGCCCCCCCTACCCCCCACTCCCCACCCAACAAAGTATAGGAAGAGGAAAAGACCCACTCCCCTAAACACTCAAACGTCTTTTCTACTCCTGGGTCAATAAGGCAACGTCCGCACAAAAAGGACACGAAGACAGTGCACGTTATACATAACCCCGGTTTCTGAGCACGTTCGGGATAAACCCGAGGCGAGCAAGACCGCGGAGCCTAGCGGCGTCTACCTTGAAACCCGGATTGTGTTTCCGTGCACAGAAATGGTGCCCGGAGGCCGCTACTTTCGCATCTGCGTCGCTTCTGCCTCCGCCGACACAGCCTCTTTTCCCCTCCCCCACGGGCGGGGCGGCGACAGCCTCTCCGCTCCCAGAGAACCGGGAATAAGAGCCGCAGATGAGTCGGATGAGGCTGGTGGGCTGCCCACCTAAAACGTCCCCTTCAGAAAGCCCATTCCCCACGCCCCATACTAAGCCTCCACGAGCGCACCTTTGGGAGCGGCTCGCCACCTCATCCCCAACAGACCCCTGCCCCACCTGTGCCCTCGTAGTCCTCAGTCCACCCAACGCGGGCCGGTCACTTCCCTTCCCACGCGGCCTCCCATCCCTCACCTGAGAGGAAAGGCTCGGCTTCTCTCACGCACACACGGCAGCGCAGGCAGCCGGCAAGAACAATGTCTCTCTCTGCCGCAACACCTCTGACACCGGGGCTCACACGACGGTTGCCTCGAGCCGCGGGGCGCGAAGGGAATGTCCCCTTCCGACCACCACATCGACCTCCCTTCCCGGTCCCCGTACACACCTCCAACCAACAGCGGCGGCGGGTACGTCGCGCGGAGGTCAGCAGGAGAGTCGCCGAGGCCCGGCTGCCGCGGATCCTTCTCGCTTGCCGGCCCCCCCTCTGCTGAACCTCAAGCCTCGGAAGCCGGAAAGCCGCTAGCTCGTTTCCCCTACAACCACCTCTTCCCGGGCGCCAAGCGCTGCGGCGAGCGACAAGGAACACAGACGTCCCGCCCCCTTTGCCGCCGCCCCCTCTTATTGTTTTACCCCTGCCGAAAGGCCTGGGGAACCCCCCAGCACGGTTTCGGCCAATCACGCATCTCCTTCGCGAATTGGACCCAACCTTCTGGCGTCCCTGTGCGGAGCACGCGCAGAACGCCGCCGCGCTCACGTATTCTCGCGCCCGGAAAGCCGGGGAACCGGAACCGGCCTAAAGCCGGGGCGAGAGTCCGCTGATTTTACGTCACAAGGAGGCTGCCTTCCTACTCCTCCGGCCGCCCTTCGAGATCGTGCCTCAACGGGAGCCTCTTCGCTGCGGCGCTGTCTTTGGCTCTGTCTTTGGAGACGCATATGTCTGGTTCCTTTTGATTATGAATATTAACCAAGGGGGAGATTTAGTAATTTTCTCTCTGAACGAGGCGTCTGCAGGTTGCTGCTGCAGACAAGCATAAAATGCAGCCAGCGGTTTCAGCGGTTTGCACCCTAAACTCATCTATGTTGTTTATTAACCCATCCTAGGAAATGGAGGTTTTTAGCTCCACTGAGAAGGTTACATTCATCCTAACACCTCAAAATAATATATATTACGGGGCTTACTAAGGCCTAGGCCCTGGGATGTAGGAAAAATAGGCCGTGGCCAGCACAGAAGGGAAAAGAATCTATTTCATTGTGTGCCCGTTCTGTATTTAGGTATTGCTAAGTACATACTAAGCATTTAACATACTAAGGCAGCTGAGAGCTGAAATCCCAGGAGATACCAGGATTACAGCCCTGTCCTAGATCTAGGCCCAGGCTTGGCCCCGGGGCATGGCTGGGAAAACACTAGACACTGCCTCTCCTGACCTTGATTCATGGAAAAAGCCAAATCGTACAGTCAAGGAAGCCACTTTGCACCTTAGTTCTCGCAGTGTTTCTCAGAGAATATCAAAACAGCAGAGGAATTTTGGGAGAAAAGGCTGAGGAAATGGTGAAACAAACGAAAGGGAAATTAAGAAAACACATTTATTGAATGCCCATGTACCAAACATAGTATGGCATATATACATACACATTTCATCAGTTTTCTTCATAATGCCATAAGAGCAATTTGAAGGTATTTTTCCTATGTGAAAGCTGAGGTTTGTGGAGGCAATGCCAAGGTTTCAACCTCCAAAATTTACATTGTTTTTACCTTAGGTTGCTTAGTCTTTTTTTTTTTTTTTTTGAGGAAGACTAGCCCTGAGCTAACATCTGCTGCCAATCCTCCTCTTTTTGCTGAGGAAGACTGGCCCTGAGCTAACATCCGTTCCCATCTTCCTCTACTTTATATGTGGGACTCCTAACACAACATGGCTTGCTAAGTGGTGCCATGTCCACACCCAGGATCAGAACCAGTGAACCCCTGGCCACCGAAGCGGGACGTGCACACTTACCTGCTGTGCCACTGGGCCGGCCCCACTCATTTTGTTATATGCAAAATATATGGGCAGACTATCACGTTTATGAAATGAACTTTGACATGTTTTTCCTTAAAGCATCATAATACATTACATGCAGATTGCTCTTTAAATCTGGTACTTATGTACCAGGCACTCTTTTATTTTAAGTAATTGTTAAGCTTTCACAATGACCCTATATAGTAGTTACTATTTTTATGCCCATTTTACAGATGAGGAAACTGAGACTTAGAGAGTTAAGTAACTTGCCCAAGGTCACACTGCTACTATTTGGTGGAGCTGGGATTCAAACACAAGCAGTCTGCCTTCACACTCCATGCCCTTAACCACAAGCTATAAAATACTCTTATTGTATTAATTGCCATAATTTATTTATCTCCTCTACTGTTGATTGACATTTCAGTTGTTTCCAGTTTGGGGCTCTTATGCACAGTGCTGTTACTCTTCACCATGTCTCCTGGTGCACAAATACAAAAAATCTCTAGAGCAGTGGTCCTCAGAAATCCCACTCTGATTCAGCAAGTCTGTGTTAAGGTCTGAGAATTGTGTGTGTGAGGAAGATTGGCCCTGAGCTAACATCTGTTGCCAATCTTCCTCTATTTTGTATGTGGGACTCTGCCACAGCATGGCTTGATGAGTGGTGTAGGTCCAGTGGCCAGAATCCGAATCCTTGAACCTACTCGGCTGCTGAAGTGGAGGGCTCCAAACTTAACCACTATGCCACCAGGCTGGCCCTAGAAACCACACTTTATTTTATTTTATTTTTTTTGAGGAAGATTAGCCCTGAGCTAACATCTGCCACCAATCCTCCTCTTTTTGCTGAGGAAGATTTTCCTTGAGCTAATGTCTGTGCCCATCCTCCTCTACTTTATATGTGAGACACCTGCCATAGCATGGCTTTATAAGCAATGGGTGGGTCCATACCTGGGATCCAAACCAGCAAACCCCGAGCTGCCAAAGCATGTTGGCAAACTTACACTGAAAAGGACCACACAGTAAATATTTTAGGTCTTGAAGGCCATGAATGGTCTCTATTACATATCCCATCTCTCCCCTTTTTTTAATCCTTTAAAAGTACAAGAAATATTCTTAGCTTAGTTCTAGGATTATACAAAAACAGGCCTCAGGCAATCCCTGGTCTATACCAATAAGTGGAGTTACTGGGAGAAAAGATTCAGTTTTAGTAAAAAATCCTAAACTGTTTTCCTAAGTGGTTATTTTTACTTCCTAAATCTCTCTCAAGTCTGTGCCCTCTGAATGACTCTCCATACTTACAGCCTCTGCCCAGATTCAAGCCCCTTTCATCTTTCCAGAATGACTGCAGTAGCCTCCTAACTAATCTCCCTGCCCTTCAAAGATAACCTCCATGACACACCTCCTCCCGAACAGACTGTAAGGCAGGAAGACCAATATGAATTGTATTCATTCCAGTGGCTCAAGCCAAAAACCTGTAAGTCACCCTTGACTCTCTTTTTCTCACACCACACAGCCAATCATCAGTAAATTTCTGTTCCCTCTACCTTCAACATTTATTCTGAATTAAGCACTTCTCATCACTTTACTGCTATTATCGTATCCAGGCCACCATCACCTACTGCAACAGCCTTCTACTTGGTCCCCATGCTTCCACTCTTATTCTACTATAGTCTGTCCTCACAGCAACTAGATCCCTTACAGCTGTAAATCAGAAGACATTCTCAAAACCTTCCAAAGGCAAGGCAATGAAATCCCAAGTCCTTACCAGAGCCTACAAGGCCTACCTGAACAAGTCCTTACCTGTTACTTGCATCTCTCTTCCTACTTTTCCTCTTATACACCTCAGCCCTACCTTTGACACTCCAATTACATTCCCACCCCAGTGTGGGCCTTGGATGTGAACCTTTATCAAAAATCTGTGGAAAATCAAAGTAAACTGTATCTGCTGATCTCCCCAAGCACTTACACTCAAATTTCTCACTCAACCATTCTAAAGGTAAGTTAGCTACGATTTTCCTTACACAAACCACCCTTCTTAGAATTGCAATTAATACTGCTTAAATAGTCTACCAGCTGTCTAAGCTGTGTTCTGTGGTTATCTTGTATTCTCTATATATTACATAGTTCCTAGGTTCTCTTCTACATTGTTTTTCATAAATACAAGTCAAATGCTAATCTACAGGTTGTCCGGCAGAGCATCCACTTACTAATAGCTTACAGGATTCTTTAAAACTCCTGGATTCATTCATTCAGTAGCCACTATTGAGTGCCAATCTATCAAGCGGAGCAGTAGGCTCAGGTTGAGGCAAAAATAATTGAAACATAGTGTCTTCAGGGAAGTGGAAGAGGGAGGCAGATAGGGAGAGCAAGAGGAAAGAGAGAAAAACAGAAAAAGACAAGGAGACACAGAAAATAGGGAGAGTCAAAGAAAGACAGTAGGGAGACAATGACAATAGAATACTGCTAAGTGCTCCTACACTAGGGATACTGACGAGCATGCTGTCCTTCTTCATAACATTGATTGAATTTTTTCATTTATAATTTGAATTTAAACTTGTAGTTTAAAATATCTGATATTTTCCCTGATGTGTGCGTGCACGTGCAACCGCGCATGCCACGTGCGTGCACACACGCACACAGTGTAAGTTCCACGAGGGAAGAACTCCTGTTTGCCTCTCCAATCCAGCACCTGGTACTGGAACATTGAAAGTGCTCCCTAAGCTGCTCCATCAAGTGGCGGAAGTGACCATCGTGAAAACACAGAGGGAGGCACAACAGTCTTTCTCAAGGGCTTCTAGTATTTTTGATATTTTTGCCCTAACTTCTAGAATAGTATATGATTTATTTTTATTCTTTCTTGATTAATAATAGCAGTTTTTAACACTGCAGATATTTTCCCTTGCTTATAGTTTAGGCCACATTCCATAGGTTTTATTCACTACCTTGGTATTCTAAATAGTTTGGAAGTAGTTTAGATTTCTTTGATTCAGTTATTGTTTAGAGAGTTGAGAATGTCTAAACAGTTTGGATTTTTAAATTTAAACTTTTTATTTTTACTTGTTTTACTGCTTGTAGTCTGTGAGTGTGGCATGTACATTTCTGTGCTTTGTGGAATTTGTTGAGATTTTTTCTTTGTGGCCTAATATATATATACAAGGTTTGTAAATTGTCTATAAAACTTTAGTCTATTGAAATAATCTTTTACTGTCTTTTAATTTCTTTTTCTCTTTCTAGTAGTTTTTACAATGCATTTTTAACTTTTTATTGAAATAATTCCATACATCCTGAAAAGCTGCAAAAATAGTAAATGATTTGCCCTTCACCTACATTCCTCATATGTTAATATTTACTACATTTGTTTTATCATTCTCATTAATTTTCTCTCTCTGGCTCATCTCCCGTAGGTCGTCAATTCCCTGAGGACACTACATTTCAACTGTTTCTGCCTCATCCTGTGCCTACTACTATGCTTGCTACCTTCACACTCAATGGTGGCTACTGAATGAACAGATCCAGGATTTTCAAAGAAACCTGTAAGTGGTCATCATAGATAGTCTGTCAGAAAACTGGTAGATTGTCATGTGACCTCTACCCATTAAAGAGCATCTAAAA